TCTGGATCAAGCAACTAGCTGGGGATAGAGTATTGCCACAATCCGCATATCATATTGTTTGCTCGCTGCGTGACCGAACCGTAACAGTACGCTTGGCTAAGCTGTCCACAGAACAACAAGTTCACGGTTTTTTTTTGCGAAAGGCGACTTTTTCATGAGGTAAGCAGAAAATATGGTTCTTTTTCAAATAAATTACATTAAAGTCATGGAAGTACATCATCCTGATGTGATGGTTCACGAATAATCGTGGCTGAAAAAGCAGTCTGAAGTCCATTAAGTCGGTGGTGATCTAAGATAATCTTGGGGTCACGCAAAGATACTAACATAAGCTAGCTCTTTACATAGCATTCTACCCCACAGATCTGGGGAAAATTCTGGTGTGCGTCCATGGTTGATCAATCGGGATGCCTGCACACAATAAAGATCGAATAACTATGGTAGCAGTCAGAAGCTGAGTCAATTAGAACCCCCAATACAAAATTTGGAACTGCCTTTAGAGAGGTTATCTATTTTTTAAAATAAAAGCTGATTTCCAGGATCTAAATGAATCCTTCCAAGTGAATCCTACACACTCATCATTAGTTGGTACGAGCCTAACGTGGTTTGAATCCGTATACGTTCGATAAGCCATCATTTCATCAAAAGTTTGCTCACAATTTTGTTTTAGTTAATCGAGGGTGACAACTAGGGAACGATATCATTTTCACCAAGACTTGTCATCATGCGGCAAACAAGGCTAATGATTGCTGTAGGTTGTATGACCTCATACGTATCTCGAGATTAGCAATAATTTTGATTGAGGCTTGTCACTTAGAGTAAATGCGTGAATTTTTGAGGCTTGAAATGCCAATTTAGGCCACTTGTGGTGTTAAAAAGACAAATCATAGTGTCTGAAGGGATTTCTGCATCATAGGATAATGGCCGCTTTATTGTCGGGTGGCTGCGAGGTTTACCCACACCTGAGGGAGGATATACTGCTGAGCAGCCGCTCGTGTCTGAACAGTCAAGTGTTTAAAATACTAGCTGGGAGATCGCGGGTTCGAGACTACCCGGAGGCTCGTGAGATGCGCACTGCTGATGGTTCTCAATAAAGATGAAACAGTTGTACAGTGCTTTTCGGCTTTTCAGCATAGTTTAGCTTCACTTACAGGATGAAATCTCCCCCATCTTTTTGACTGAATCGGTAAAGTCACAAATGTCACGGAGGTTACAATCACGGATCAGACAGGATTCAGTACGTGACTTAGTTAATTTGCAGCTTTCTGATAAGAGAAATATACACGTTCAATATTGGGCGTAATTGTACATCCGGTTTGTGCACACTAGGGAGACCGTAGACTTGAGTTGCAAATGCACCTCGTTTTATCAAAGATGGGGGGGGGGTTGTTTTCAAAATTTCCAAGAAGAGTCTATTAGGTGAGTTGTCTGTATGCTAAACTGACTGAAATTCAATGGCAGTTTCATTTAGCTGTACAACGCATACCTCCACCTTTCCGTCGCCTCTCGGCTCATGTAGGCTGTCAGTCATTCAGGCAATTTTCTAGCTATATACCGTAACCCATGGTACTGTGGTTCCAGCTGTGCTACCATTCTGCTTACCGAGAATGGGTATGATAAGGGACTGATAGGTGCGTGTTAGAGGTGAGGCCCGGTTAGTTCGACGATGTTGAATTGTTCAGTATGTCATTAGTTGACTCCATTCACACTGATTCGGTGTTTTCAGATTGTTCTTACTGATCCACGAAAACGCCCGTCGTATTAACTTCTGTGGCACTTAACATTCTGGCTGACTGGTACGTAACTGACTGACCAAACCTTCGACTTTCCGAGCAAGACCTAATCGGAAGCGAGTTGCTTGTGCGAACATTGAAACAGCAGAGTCATGAGGGTAAGTGCGGCGATGAATTGTGCACCCTAGACAAGGTCACCTGCTAAGGGCAGGTGTGGGACAGCTGACATAAGTCAGTAGCTATGACACACACACACACACAAGGAATTCGGACGTGAATCCTTACGCTTAACCGACTGCTACCACACACTGATTTTGCTACATCATCAATAAGTTGAGTTGTATCGTTCCGCGATAAGCGGAAATTGAGATGTCAACACCGGATGGTACAGGAGTACATGGGACGAAAATACAAGGTCAGCGAGATCAATAACAAACTGGC